GAACATAGCGCTAGYCGGCAGGAGACTCCCACACCACATGTGCCTATGGCAGAGGTTGCAGGCCGGTGTCTAGACAGCTGTCGAGAGACTGCTTGTGTCAGGTTCTCTTTAGACACCTCCCTCGCAGGCGTGGCCGAAGAATTGAAGGAGAGGATGCCCGCCTGGGCCAAGATGAAAAAAGAACAGAAAGGACAACTAATTCTGGTAGATGTAGAGATTTTTAGAGGTAGAGTAGGGGCCCTAGTAGATTCAGGGGCTACYCRCAGCTATATTAGTAGGAAGRCGCTGCAGAAGTTGAAGCTGGGGCTTAAAGTCCAAAAGCTAGCAGATCCCATAGTTAGTATCCTCGCAGACAATCATACTATGGTTGTAGAGGAGTATGTAGAGGGAGTCCAGGCKTATTTSCGSCTAGAGAAGGATGGGAAAGTGGAGAAGGTCCTCCACTCCCTGACTCTCCTCGTAGAAGACAGCCTCCCATTCGACATTGTTCAGGGAATGGATTGGGGAGAGGCAGCCGGGGCCACGCTCCATTTGAAGGAGCACGAGTGTAGGCTTCCTAGTTCTTCAGGCGAGGCTAAGACTGCCCGCCTGTTCCATGTGTCAGGCGTAGAGAATTCCTTGGCACATTGTTGCCTGAGCGCGCTCGCATTCGCCAGATTGGTGAAGAAGGAGAAATTGGAGGAACAGGTCTTTGTCGCCTATATGAGGCCAGTGACTGAGCCTAAGGAAGAGAAGCCCGTAGACCCTACTATTGCCAAATTGCTGGAAGAGTTTAAGGATTTAACTAAGCCGCCGACAGGCACGGTGTCGCGGCCCATCCAACACCGTATTGAGATAGAGCCTGGCAGTAGAACTCCTAAGGGTGCTGTATATAGGATGTCCCCGCGGGAGTTAGAGGAGCTACGGAAGCAATTGGACGAGCTCCTCGAAAAGGGTTGGATTAGGCCCAGTTCGTCTCCTTTTGGAGCCCCTGTTCTCTTTGTCCCTAAGAAAGAGGGAGAGCTGAGGATTTGTATAGACTATAGGGGTCTGAATGCTATTACAATAAAGAATGCTGAGCTACTGCCTAGGATAGACGATCTCTTAGATCGAGTGCAAGGGGCCAAGTACTTCTCTAAGATAGACTTAAAGTCCGGATACCATCAGATAGAGGTACATCCTGATAATCAGTATACGACAGCCTTCCGGACTAGGTACGGGCACTATGAGTTTATAGTGATGCTCATGTGCCAGGTACTAACCTGTGAATATGGCGCTGTGCTGCAGGTACCTCGAAGACAAAGCTGGAGCAATGGCGCTGCAGGTAAGTCCCCCTAGCCTCTGCCCAATCTATCTCTCTCTAGTACTACTCTAGCTGCTATGGTGCCCAGCGCTGAAGACTACCGCTAATGCTACAACTACTCCCGCAGTGCTCCTCTAGAGTGCTGCTGCCGAATCCTGAGGACTACTGACTGCCGCCTGCCTACCCGTGAAGTGCATGGGAAGTCCCTATGTACTACCTCGGCCTGCCTCCTGACTGCCTCCGACTGCCTGCAGTTGCAGGGCGGGCAGTCCAGGAGGCTGCTCTTGCCAATGCCAATCTGAGCCAGGGTCTGGAGCTGCAGCTGTCGTGGGAACAGGCCAAAAATAGCCTGTTCCTAAAACCCTGGTTTGGTGCCTGAGTTTCAGGGCAGGTGGGTCTGATGAAAGACCGAAAATGGCCCTTCGTTTCAGGCTAAAAAGGCTACTGCCATTTTTAGTCTGAAACGACACAGGGTCTGTAGGCCCCTGTTTTTCAGGCTTTCGAGCTGAACAGACACGGGGCCTGTAGGCCCTGGTTTTCAGGCTTTCAGCCTGAGGGACGCAGGGCCTGGAAAATGGCCCTCGTGTGCAGGCGCAGCATGTAACAGCGGTTAGACATCAGGGTGGACGATAGCCCATCAGGGAACCGGGCCCATCAGGAACTGGGCCCATCAGGGACAAAGGAAGTCGGTAGGTGGCTGATCCTTGGCGGTTAGACATCAGGAAGGAAGATAGCCCATCAGGGAACTGGGCCCATCAGGGAACGGGGCCCATCAGGGACAAAGGAAGTTTAGTAGGGCCCTGATCCTTGGTGGTTAGACATCGGGGTGGAGGCTGGTGAATAAGGACGGCGGAGTGTTATGTGTTCGATTGATTAACAACTCAAACCCACATTCAAATGTTCCCATACACATGTGCAATGACAGGCAGACTGAGGAGAGAGCAGATTCACACCATAGCCATGGAGAGGGATTGCACAGCGGAAGCCAAAGGCAGATATAAAAATTGAGAGAAAAATGTTTCAATCAATTATTTATTACACCCCGTGCTCTCCTCCTGCCAACCGAACAACTAGAGTCCAAGAATGTCAACCATGAAATCTGTTCCACCTCCAATTAACCCCGGACATACACTTCAACGAAGGTTCACTGAAACTTTCTCTTCTCCCTACAACCCCCAGCCTCCAATGATAGCCCACTGTTGAAAACAGCATCTCATCATGACCCGAGGCTTTGAGTACAGGCGCTGATTTGGAATGAGCCAGATATCAAGTTGCAGTGCCGCAAACCACCGTGAACAAGAAGGTGAACCTCGATGGCTGCCCTGGTATGGCAGCAACTAGCAACAACCAAGCCGCTCAAGGAAGAAAGTGGCTGTTCTTCAACCCCACAAACAGCAACGTATGGCAGTGGCATCAGCACCTGGAAGACCTCCTACAGGGGCTGCCTCCTCAAGCAGCAGAGAGCCCCAGCTATGGCTGCCCAAGTTCCCTTTTGAAGACGAAGAAGACTGAGCGCTGGAAATAGTGCCGCTCACGTACTCCCGTCGCCACTTCCAAAAAAAAAGAGAAAAGAACCCCAAAACTTGTCGGCCTCTCCCTACTTCTACCCAACTTCCGTAGACCTACAACACAGCAGTCATCTGGGAACCTAGACTAAGGGGACCCAAAACGAAGACACAAACAAGGGAGACCTACGGGCCTACCAGGTTTCCAGAAGACCAGAAAAGGACAAAACACCCTGAAAACAGAAAGGCTGAAGGGCCTAAGACCACCAAAATGAGAGTACTAGCGACAGGTTCACGGGTCAAGCCCAGTAGGACTCAAAGCTAGTGAATAACACATACAAACTGTAGGTCATGGGATCAAGTCCTACAGCGCTCCGACCAGGGGAACAGCAGACAAACTTAGTGCACAGGGTGCGTAAGCAACTGGAATTCATTGCAAGAGAGAGGGACCTGGACACTGTTTTTTAAGGTGGTTTCGTCGGTGTTATGGGGAATAATGTACACTTTCAAACTGTGATGATAATTTTATGGGATGTGTTGAAGGAGAAGGAGAAGTGGTGGAGCTGACTGTACTCCACAAGAGAAATAGAATTGACTATGCTCTCTATTTCTGTTCTACTTGGCTTGCCAGATGATACGATTGTTTGAGTTGATTGGCTGCTGCGAGCGGTCTGAGTTTGTTTGGGCAGGCACACGTATGGGATTGCGAGTTGCTACCGTCCGCCCCTGAACACAACGCACCCTGATAATGAATGCATACAAACCATCTTTCCAGTCTGGTGCAGCCAAAATGAGGGTGTGCTGTGTTCGGGGGAAGACGGTAGACGGCTACAAGGTACGAGTTCATAACCAATGCATGTGTTTCACAGAGGCCCAGTGGTGAAGAGGCCCAGATACCCACCGGTGTGCGAGGGTTTATGCCTCGGCACCCAGTGGTGAAGAGGCCCAGATACCCACCGGTGTGCGAGGGTTTATGCCTTGGCATAGGGCCCTGCAGCAGGCGTGTGCCCGCCCCAAGTGAAGGCGGCCCCCCCTCTAAATCCCATTGCACCCTGAACTCGTCATTTTTCTACAAATCTTGGTCGGCGCCAAACAGTTGCCACGCGCCAGTTGGTTACAATCTGCCTTGCTTATGAAAATCCAAAATATTTGTGAGCCTTCCAGGCCCTTCCAGCCATGTGGCCGAAGCAGGGAGCAATGCACGTTTGTGCCTCGGTGGTTGGGCATGCCTAACCAATTCGGTCCTAGGCCACTGTCTGAATCGGGCCTGGGCGCAGACAATTTGGCCGAGACTGAAGCTACTGGAAACTCGGTCTCACGTGGGCATAGCGAAGGCAAGCGCCTGCTTCTTTCCATATAGGAAAGAGCAGGGCGCAGAGCTGGTCATTTGGGCACTTGCACTTGCGGGCGGCAGCGCTGCTGGAGCTTAGACTCGTGGGCTGCTTGCTTTGCTAGTGTGAGGTGCGGGCGCGCGCGGGCGTCGAGAGGATACAGGGCGCTGCTGAGGGCAGTGCCATAGCCCAGCCTTCATAGCCAGGATGGGGCTTGGACACAGGTAGCAGGTGGTGGTGGTCTTCGTGTATGGGAAGGAAGACGTCGGTGATGAAGACGAGGGAGAGAGAGAGGGAGAGAGAGAGGGAGAGAGAGAGGGAGAGAGATGAGGTTGATGATGTGAGGGCACGTACCTGCTCTTGGCGATGGTCTACAAGGTCGACATCTTCATGCACTGCGGTTGTTGCTGCTGACGTCAACGGGATGCATTGTCAATTTGTAGGCTGCTAGTAGCTTTGTAGAAGTAGTCTGGGCGCTGAGCGCCAAGTAGGAGGAAGGGCTCTGGATACATATATTGGTGGTGGCGAGAGTATGCTTTCATTGACGTTCGGATTTGGTGCTTTGGTTCTCCGTTGGTGGAATATCAGTGCATTTCTGCTTTCTGGACAGTGTTGGCCTTTCTGGCTTTCAATGTGAAATTGCATTGAAATTCTGGAATTCGGTCATTTCGCTATATCTCATTTTCCTTGCAAGTGGGTTTAACTTTAGTAAATGTAAATAAATAAACTTTAATAAAGTTTGTTTATTTACATTTACTAACGTTTGTTCTCCTGGCTTCAAGCGGGTGCTTATTCTTTTGGTTCTATTTCACTTTCGCATTTTGGTTGACGACCAGCTATCGACTGATTAGTTCTCTCTTCTCTTTGCGTTGCGTTCTGCAGACTGCAATTGAGACCATGCACAAAAATGTCATCTCATACTTCTCCAACTTTGTTCGGGGCATGGAAATTCTTCGAGCAGCGCTCACCCAGCTTCTGCTTTACTACTCACGACTTCTAGACTGTTTGAAGGTCAGCCATCCAATCGCAGTCATGTCTCTCTCTCTCTCTCTCTCTCTCTCTCTCTCTCTCTCTCTCTCTCTCTCTCTCTCTCTCTCTCTCTCTC